CGAACCCGCGAGCTTCCGCTCTCCGGGTGGACGCTCTAATCACTACACCACGGAGGCGTTCAATTACTTAAAGGGGCTGTTGCTCGTCACACTGAAGTTCTAGGTTTGATTCCCCACTTGTGTACAATGTGTGAAGCCCATTTCTGGTGTGATAGTGTCGGAATATTGCTAAACGGCATAAAACTCACTCACATGCTCACTAAGGACTTAAATAAAATGGCTGGAACTGCTAGTTGATCCAAGCAAGGTCTCCCTTTAAAAGGTTGAATTTATTGTGGGAAGATCAACAATAAATTTGTTACCTGACTTAACAACATTTTAGGTTCCTGCTATTGACCAAAGGCGATAAATTCTGTGATGAAAGGAAATTAATTTAGTACGGCATTGACACAACGAAGCATTGCCATAATTATATTCATTGGGTGAGCTTTGGAAAATATATAAGTATTCCTATGTCAAGCATTAATCAACCACTGTATAGAACCTGTATTCTGGAGATGGATTATGATGTATAAAAATAATCCAGCATTAGTGTGCCAAACATTAATCACAGACATGACCCAGGTATTTTTATTAAGATCTTATCGGGGTATTTATAAGGTCATTTATCTATTAGCAGGAAAACATTAATTAAATCCATGGGTTAGGAAGCTCACCTATATTCATTGATAGAACAGTTACTTTGTATAAAGATTTAATACTCAATAATTAGATACTGTTTTTTATTAATCATTTTCAGACATCAGAACATTTTTATTGTATGTAATTTTATCGGATACATACACCTATTCCTCTCAACGCCCCCACCAGGAGATTGGTGCCATACAAACACACTATGTTACACCTGGATCTAACTGTAATACTTACAAGCTGATTCTGCTGTTGTGATATGTAACTGGAAATTTCAGTCAGTTCTAATGAGACTCAGTGACAGTTTTATGGTGTAGACTGAAATTTGATAGACTCTGATTAACATTTTCAAGTTCAACTCAAACACAAAACATTTCCAGTTTCTACTATCGAGACTAAATCAGTTCTGTTCACTTTATGTTTGTTTGTTTTGCTGTTGAATATATATATGCTCATGACATGGACAATTACCTCTGACTACTTCTACTAGGACAAGTTTGATTATGAAAGGACAGTGAGTGAGTATGGTTTTATGCTGCTTTTAGCAATATTCCATCAATTTCACGGTGGGAAACACCAGAAATGGGCTTCACACTTTATACCCATGTGGCGAATCAAACCCAGGTCTTCAGTGTGGCGAGAAAACGCTTTAACCACTAGGCTAACCCACCGCCCATTGAAAGAATAGTAAAAGATCCAATTGACATAACTGGGCCTCTTTTAGATAAAGATGAAGAAAATGATACACATTAAAACAGTTTAAAAAAGCATCATCAGATAATGACAAATCGCCCACAAATTTGAAACAACAAATCAACTGATTGTTACAGCAAGTCCATCAAAAGTGATTGGTCTAACATGATGAGTGTATTTGTATCTAGTCTGTCTTCCCATATACAAGACTAGTTATTGAGCAATCAAATTTATGAATTTGAAATTTTGATTCGGAACTATGTATTGGTATATAAGGTTCTTTTTTGCAAAGATTTAAGTTAGCTTTTCTCACACAATTGGCACAATAAGCTGCAGTCTGTTACAATTTAAATGAATATAACTATAAGTATGCAAGATTATGTCATATAAAATTACGAAAACATATAAAGAGACAGAGGTGTAACAAAAATTCTGTTAAGAATTAAAAGCAATAGTTTACCATTTGGTTATTATGTGTGTGTACTGAAGAAACCAATAGTTTTGGTGATACGCTCTGGAAAAAACATCCCTAGGTCAAAGTCAAACTTGTTGCCATGGAAATGAGATACAAATAATATTTAAAATCTGTAGACAGATAAAGGCACCTGTAAACATTCTGATGTGTGTGCAAAGTTTCAAGAAAGAATATTAATTAGTTTTGAAAATCATCATCCAGACAAACACACCACTATGAACAGAGTAATACTCAAACATATTGCCATGGAAACAGGAAAAAAATATAAACATTAAGAATCCTCAAATGGCAAAAGGCCCCAGGGACAACCTGTTTTTTGTGAGCGCAAAGTTTCATAAAAAACTATCCATTATTTTAAGAGATATGATCTGGACAAACCCATCACTATGAACCGAGCCAAAGTAAAACTCAGTGGTTGCCAAGGAAATGGGAAAAATAACAATTCTAACCAAAATCCTTAAAAGCTAACAACCTGATTACCACAAGCCGTTGTATTATATGTGAGGGGGGATAAATATATATGCTACATATACAAATAGAAAGTTCCACCAACACTTATATCAGAGTGTGGTACATTATATGTGGTATACAGATAAGCGCATATTCCATTTACCTTCACATATATGGCATCAGAGACCATATAATAATCTATTATATGGTCTCTGATGGAATGCAGGTATTTGCATAAATTGCAGATGTTTGTCCTCCTGACATAGGCATATATTGCAGATATATCCTCCTATTATAGGCATTAACTGCAGATATATCCTCCTATTATAGGCATTAACTGCAGATATGTCCTCTTTGGTATAGACAGAAATTGCAGATATGACCTAATGGCACAGGCATAAAATGCAGAAATGTCCTGCTTGCATATGGATAAATTGCTGATTTGACCTGATGCATAGCTAGAAATATATTAATTTAAGAAACAAACATGTCAAGCTGAGATAATGTCGACACTTCCTTTTTAACAGGTTGTTTCTTAAAAACTTTGTGAATCTTGAAACTGAAATTGATGCTTAGGTTTGTGAATATTACAGTGATGTTTGAGAACAAGAGAAGACATTGGCCCAATGGTTTATTATTTCACCCTTCCCATAACTGTTCAATAAAGTATGAACACAGTGTGTGACAGTACAATGTGTTGATTACATACAAAACTAACAAGCTTGCTCTTATTCCAGGCTGATTCAAGAGTTCTGAATGCTTGGATGAAAGCACATGTCCAGGACAACACGTAATGGTTAATCAGAAGATTAATGAAATGTGGTTTGAAATGCATATTGGAAGCACTGGCCATACACCAGTCTGATGATGTTGAATATTACATCCCAATTATTCTAAGTTTATTTTATGTTGTGTATTATATATTATACATGAACATGTTTAACAATCACAACAATCTCAAAAAATACATGTATATAACTTAATTACGCTTAACAAAGTACACAATTTTGCTCTGCACACCACGCCTTGCAGACTTCATTTTGCCGACTGCATCACAGACACGCTAATGAGTTCGCTAATCACGCCGATAGTTGGGCTTGGGGTAGTAAATCAGTTCGCTATAGCCGTTAATTCGCTACTCACGAAGTTCGTTATTCGCAGATAATTTCAATGATATTATAAAGGACTGTTGACGGACTTTTAAATTTGTTCGCTATATCCGTTTTTGTACGCTTATATCCGTGGTTCGCTATATCCCGTGTTCTACTGTATTCTGTTTGGCTCAACATCGATCGATGAACTGTAATTTAACTCAAAACTACTAAACATATAACACTTCAATGAAACACTGATCATAATCAAAACATCAGACCAACTCTGTGACTTATTTGTAGAATTATGTCCTAAAATAAAAAGTTGTTTAACAAACTATCATTTAAAGTTTGACAAAGTTCACTATTTGTTACGAGGGAGGGCTGCAAAGAGAGGAACAGCCAGGTATACACGGGGCACGTGCTGACAAAGTTATTGAATCATTTACCTGTGCTGTGCTGTCTCCATCCTTTCTCGCGCACCTGGCTGTTCCTCATAACAAACAGTGACCTGTGTCAAAATTTTAATGATAGTTTGTTAAACAATTTATTATTTTTAGGACATAAATTCTGCAAAAAAATCACAGAGTTGGCTTGTTGTTTTGATTATGATTAGTGTTTTATCTAGCATTATATGTTTAGTAATTTTCGAGTTAGATTGCAATTAATCAGTCGGATTTTGAGCCAAACTGACTATAAATATTGTTTTTATTTTCTTATTTCTATCTACTGGTAAGGTAGGGCATGCTCTTCCCTTTTACGAACATCTGATTTCAAGTGTGGATATTCTCAACATTAGATATTAGACGTTTTGAACCGAAAAAAGACCATCGATCACAAAACTGATTATGCTCTAATCATTGTAGAAAGTGTGTTTAAACATCTAATCATCATATTCACAAACAGCAAACTTCTGCAGATGAATAGAAATAAAAAATTTACACTACTACTGAAAATATATCACAAATTTATGCAAGTCTCTGAATGCCTTATACCATTTATAACATTTGATGAACTCAAACTGAATTCATTAGAACCCTCAGAATATCAAAACATAAATTTTGTAAAGCTCCTTTCCTTTGCTTAATACTGTCTTCAGAACTATTCCAGCTAAATGCTGAATGCCTGTAAAGATTTAACCTTGGGCCAGGCAAACCAGTGATTGATATTATGACCAAGACCCACTTTTGACGGGGATGATGACACTCAATCAGCCAAGAAATGGCGACTGACCTTTAAGTATATTCAAGCATCTCTCAAGAGGAGTGAGTGAGTCTGGTTTTATGCTGCTGTTTGCAATATTCCAGCAATATCACGGCGGGGGACACCAGAAATGGGCTTCACACCTTGTACCCATGTGAGGAATTGAGCCCGAGTCATTGGTGTGACAAGCAAATGCTTTAACCACTAGGCTACCCTACCGCCCTCTCTCAAGAGGAATCCTCATTGGGGTAAGTAAACACATTATCTTTAAATGTTAACTATTTTTTTTTCTTAAACATAACAATGTAATGCATTAAAGTACAATCCATAGTGCCATAATTGAATAAGCAACTGTAATACTTACCACATAAAATCATTTAGGGAATGGCTGAGAAAGTGTAATCACGAATATAACACGTTACATCTTCACTGGTACCATTTTCAAGCTACCACTTATACCAAGGCTATCTTGAAACACTGCATATGGTACTGCCGAAATTCCTTTGGCTACGTTTTTTAAACTCAAGCCCCTGCAACATATCCTGCAGCCAAGCATTGTATCTCGATAACTTCCGCGACAAAGCAACTTAAAATCTTTGAAAACAAATTATTTGAAATTAATACAACAGTTTATCTAAATGAATAATTGTACAGAAAGAGGTATGGCACCAGATCTATGAGAATGCTTAATCCGATACTAGGGACAAACAAGAAAATGACTGCATTACCTGTATATAAAAATAGTTTGATACTTATCTATGTAATTATTAGTCTCTCCCACTACGCAAAAAATGTCAACCATGTTTGATATAAACTGCTACAGAGTGGTTTTGTGTTGTAGCCAAATACTATGTTTGTTCTATTCGATTCCAATATGACGCTTACATATATTACAAATTGTATATCACTTTCTGATAAGAATAAACAGCTTTAAGGACTATTTTTCTAATAATCAGGACCATATTTTCAGCTCCTTATGTCATGTAGGTTAGACCAAGTCATGTTCATGTTTGCAATGCCCTAAATTTCCAGAAGGTTAAAAACTCAATTCTTGTCGATGGAAAAAATGTTTCTTTAAAATAAGTTCACATATATTTTAGAATTTTCTTTGAACAAACTGATACTCAAGAAAATGCTCCTGAATTATAATCCGTCAATTGTACTTATTTTTGTCATTAATACCTTGCTGTCTTAAAGATAATCTCTTGGTGTGGCCTGAAGTCTCATATAGGAAGGCGTTTCCTATTCTCGCGGTACTTACGGATATCGGCTGAAAAAAATAACACAAACAATTCTTATTGTATGAATGTTAGTTGTTTTTAAATGAAGGGTTTTCTCCTCTAACATCTACATCTATCAGCTGCTAGATCCATCAGGTGAATTACCACTCGTGAGCCCAGTGATAAACAATGCCATCCGCCATTGACGAAACAAGGCTTCTCCCATTCTCGCGGTATTACCAGGAATTAACGTTATTGAGTGTGTGTAACAGCAATCCTGCCGGAAAGGGCGGGAAAAAGTAATGGTATGTCCAAGTTGGTATAAACTGCTCAATATTCGTGACACTGCAAGATTTTGATCACTCACAGACTTGGTCAACTTCCTAGTTACCAGTCGGTGATGTAAACAACCGGTAAGTGTCGCGCATCGGCAATTTCGGCAGAAATCGTGTTTACCGCGAGAATAGAAACCCGCGGGAATAGGAGACGGACCTATAAGAGTGAGAGAGTGAGTGTTGCTTTATATCGTTTTTAGCAATATTCCAACAATATCATGGTAGTGGACACCAGAAATGGGCTTAACACATTACCCAGTATACCTCTGCCGGCAATCTAACCAGAGACACTAATGTGACCAGCAATGAAAGCTTGAACCGCCAAGTTACCCCACAGTCCTCATAAAGAATGTTCATGAATCATTTCCATAAACAGAAGTACTTGTGCACCCATTTGTTTTAGAATTGACTTCAGCATTTTGAACTTAAGGAGATAAACAAAAGGTCATGTCACACCCTACCTTACATTTGTAGCTACAGAAAGGTAGAAACATATATCAACTCTGAAGGAAATATGTAAATAATAACAGCTGAAAGACTGCTTATGGACACACCAAAAACAAGAAACAAGATTTATTGACATCTTTCAGCGCAAAACTGTAGCACAAGCCTCACCAATTCTAATATCAGTCAATCAGCAATTAGTGGTTGTGGTTTAAATTTGTTTGTGTTTATGGAAATATCATGGCAACCTTTTGCAGTTTATTTTTTTAACAAAATATCAGTTTCATAATCATTAGAAAGAAGACAATTAAGTCTGCTGCTCACATGTATTTAATCATTTTGGTTTTGTGAATAATAAGAGATATAAGAGATACATAGCTATTACTACTTGGTACAGATATTCAATCACATCACGCAAATATCAATGATGTGAATAAGTGTACCTTAAATGTTAACATCCGTAATTGTAAAGGTATCCACTTCCTGAGCTGTTAAGGTATAATTTAATTCTTGTCCCCACAATTTGCTTTCTTCAACCAGTTGAACCTCGTAAATATTTCATTTAACCATTTGTGAGGTGAGGTGAGGTGAGGTGAAATTGGGTTTAACGTCGCTCTTGAGAATATTTCGCTCATATGACGAAATGCATGCGTGTGTATGTGTAGGTGCAGCTGCTTGTACTAGCCCAGACTGAAGCTGGTTTTATAGTGCTAGCCAACTGAGATACCATGCTGCAGTGAAGCATGAATACCCCACTCAGACACATTATACTGACTCCGAGCCGACCAGTCCTTGATGTACCCATTGATGCCGAGCGCCAGGCAGGGACCAACAAGTACCATAATTTAACGTCTTTTGGTATGATGCGTACCATTTGTACAGGGATTAGATTAATAGTTATTGTGGTGTCATTCACAATGAATTCACATTCACATTCACAATTCACAATTTTCAGTAGCGTGGTTATGTCAATCTTATATAATATATTTAAACATAAATAACACAAGAACGTGGTAATATTGAATATTTAAATATGTTTTTTCAACATTTATTGATATTCAATCTCAAATCTACTACAAAAGAAATTAGATATAATGTTTTCTAAGTAGTCATATTAGTTTATGTCATTATTAAAAAATACAATTGGTACTACATATATTTAAGGAGAAAGTTCTTGTATTCATTCTGCAAGTTTCGTTCTGCATCTCATAAATACAGCACAATATTAAGGTACACCAATCTGTCTTTGGCTCTCTACATAACCAGGATACACCGTAATAGAAGATATGTTCCTACTCGTTTAGTGAAAACTACAGACAAAAAAGGTAGCCATTAGAATTATTATCGTTGTCATGATAACAAAAGATAGTTCTGGGGACAGCTTAGTACAGGAAAGCCTTTGAAACTTGGTATGCTGAGAGTTTATAAAGAAAATAGCTTCACAGTTCCAAATTCTGACAAAAATTAATCAAACTTGACAATTGAGGTTTTCATTTACACTGCAATACAAATGTTTAAAAATGAAGAGTTTCAAACCATGTTTACCTTGCCTGACACAAATTACCATATTACAAAGAAATCACCCACAATATATAAAATTTAAAAAAGAAAGAAATAGACAATGATGAATACACAAACATATTGTTTAAAACATGATATTTGTAAGTGGAAACAAGTCATTTTTAAAATATATCTGATCTAAGTAGTTTCCACAAGCACTTTTTCCCCCAGAATAAAAAGTAAAATAAATAAAAATAATTTCATTATATGATGAGAAGCAAATTTAGTATGAACAAAGAACAACCAATACATTGCAATAATCCAATAACACACAAATAATTACATCTAACAGTCTTAATGACAAATCAAAACTAATTTTGAAGAACATATATTTGCATAAAGCTGAACTCTATTTCCATATAAATGTGAATATCACATTATCTCAGCCTTGTTGCATGAGGAGGCACATTTCTTGATTTTTTAGTCTTGATGTGATGTTGTTCATCATCGCTGTCATTATCGTTCCTGAATGGCTTAACTTCATCTTTCTTCTTCCTGTGTCTGATATAGAGCAGGAGCCCCGCCCCTGCCAACAGCAGTGTTCCGCCCACAGACGCTCCTGGATAGAGGAAGGGATCGTGGGATACTCATATACATGCATGAATACATCTACATTTCAATATTTGATAACATTCTGAACAGTAATAAGAAAACACTTAATTGAATGGACTATACAGAATAATACAGTATCTTTACTTCATACACTGACATTAACTGTTGAGGATTGTACTGTTATCAATCCTTCTTTATTTGAAGGTGACCAAAAGCATGTTATGCCAGACCAATTTGATCCCTGATATTAATTAATTTAATTCAGTTAAATTCTGGTATTAATGTGATTTTAATTTTATCCAAAGTTTGCTATTTTCAAAAGCAAACTATGTACATGACAGAGTCGTATTTTATCATGTAAATTATGTACAACCATGAGAGGTATGGTAGTGAGGTAAGGTAGACAAATACACAGAAACAGTTACTGTTGTCATGTAGACTTACTTTAACATGAGAATCTGAATTCTTTTGTTCATCAAATCAAGCATTACCTCATTGTTACACATTACAATATTTCATTCAGCGATCCTCGAGGGGGGTTAAAGTACTGTAAAATTATTGTCCTCCTGAGAGGGTATGTAAGTCCCAAAACATTCAAAGTAAATTTCAACTTTCCGTTTTTTAATCGTAGAATACATGTATGTGTAAGTTTAATGTATGGCTAGATATATCTAAATTGCTAACAGCTGAGGGGTTGATGTAAATCCAGCTAGGGCCCATGCAGGAAGCAAATGTACTGTAAGTCCCCATGGTCCCTAGTATGGTGATCTACCTGCAGTTGTTGGCAATCTATAGCCTGTTTTTATATTGTATTGTCATTTATAGGTAAAATATTTTAGATTTAATTACTAGTCTTAAATTTATACCTGTGATAATCTAGTTATTTTACTGTCCTTCGTTGACAGGTGTTTTATAACGTAATTGTGTTTATTGTTAATTTATAACTTTTTAAGTCACAATATGGATGAAATATTGCCGATGTGACTATAAATTTTAACTCACTCACTCACTCATTCAGCGATTTTCAACAATCAGATCATACACTTTCACAGCTGTTTTGCATTTCAAATGAAATCTGTCTTGGCAGTTAATTGAGCCTGGAAATGGTCGGGCGTTTACATGCAATATCTTCAACAATGTCAAGATATTTTAATCTCATCTATCCATCAGAGTTTGAAATATAAGAAACAGTTTGCATTCATATCTGTGCCTCATCAAGATCAGTACACATAAATTCAAAAGGATGTGCTCCAGGCTGGCCAATAAAAAAGCATAATTTGAATTTACCAATCTTGAATTTTCCTGCCTTGTTTAGCAATGTACAATCAGGGCCAGCTTTTGCACAGGACACATGATGCCTACAACTAACCTTTTCAATCATGGTTTCACCATTCAAGTCTCATAATGCCATACATATAAGTAGCTAGATTCACTAAATATGATGCATTCCATGTTAACTTACGAATTTACACTTACATTTTAAATGAACATTGTATAAGAGGTGGGTGAAATCAGTGCTGGACTCTCTTACACATTTTGAATGAGTGAGTGAGTTTAGTTTTACGCCGCACTCAGCAATATTCCAGCTATATGGGGCAGTCAGTAAATAATCGAGTCTGGACCAGACAATCCAGGGATCAACATCATGAACATCAATCTACGCAATTGGGATATGATGAAATGTGTGAACCAAGTCAGTGAGCCTCTTACGACAAGCATGGTTACTGAAGATCAATATTCTAACCCGGACCTTCACGGGTTGAAATGCTATGATGAACAGTCAAAAAGTGATGTCATATAATATGACATCACTTTTTGACTGTTGAATCACAGCACAGGAATATTACATATATATGTGTCAACCCAGTCAGCGAGCCTGACCACCCGATCCCAGTAGTCGCCTCTTACGACAAGCATGGGTTGCGACACATTTGAGAACACCTGGTGTCATAATAGATTTTCAATGATCAGTTATAAGAATTATGCCTTTTAGATCTGTGTCAGTGGATTTTCAAGAGTGATGTTTTCAATTTTGTATTTCTCATGTAAACCTAAAAACTATTCAAATGCTAATAAAGCATGGAAGTGGTAAATTGGTTAAAAACAGAGGGAAAATTGGTCTGGTCTTGTAATCACTACACTTACTTTATGACCTTATTTTAGATGAGGACAGCAGTTAAAAGCGCAAAATGAAAAATCAGCTAAATTCTAAATAGAAAAAAACATGCCATTTTCCTGATCTTAATGTGTTTAACACAATTGTTTTCCTACCTATAATGATGGGCATGATGTCAGTATCAGCTTCAGCAAGTTCAACCTCTTCTGGTTCCTCCACCTCTACCACAACTGTGGTGTTGACAGATCCTCCAACACTGTAGGCCTTCACGGTCCAGTTACCCTTATCAGAACTGGATGCTGACTGTATGGTCAGAACATTTCCCTCGACACTGTATCCAGTCTTCTTGTGATCATCATCCAGCACTGTAGAGTCTGGGACAACCCAGGTGACATATGGTTCAGGATCTCCGGATGTCTCACAACTGATGCTGATTGGGTCCCCAGTCTGGACAGTAAAAGGTCCATTACAGGTGACATTTGGAGGAATGCATAGCAAATCTGATGAAGGGATGTCGACAAGGTTCTGGAACTTGAGTCGATCTGGTCCATAGCATTCAACAGATGTGTGGGATCCTATTTTGGCTGAAGAAAGTTGAGGAAGATTCCTCATCCAATCCAAGGCACAGTTGCATTGCCAGGGATTGTCTGACAAATCCAGATGGTCAAGACCTGTCAAAAATGACTGGTAATCTTTTGGTAGGATCTTCAACTTGTTGTTACTCAAATCCAGTGTTTCCAAGCTGGTGACAGGAGTAAAGAGGTCCCTGGGAAGTTTTCTGAGTTCATTTCCATGAAGGTCCAAAACATGAAGAGATGTGTCATGCTGGAAGCTGTTCAGATCAATATGACCAAGTTTCATGTCTCCCAGGTAGAGGAAATGCAAGGATGGAATATTAGCAAAGGTTCCTGCTTCAACTTTACAGTATTCATTCCCACTAAGATCCAAAGAGTCCAGATTGGGCAGGTTGTTAAATGTTCCACGGTGAATCTCGGACATTTTGTTATCTTTCAAAGTCAGCATTCTCAATTCCTGCAAATCCTGAAAAGCATCAGCATCAATGGTCGTAAGGGCTGTGTTTGTGATAATCACTGTGTGATAATCTTTAGCATTTTTAACATCTTGGCGCTTCAGATTGGTCAGTTTGTCAAATGGCACCGACGCTGTTCCAGAAATAACCAGTGTGTACATGTCTGTTGGCAGACCACTAGGAATGGTCATCAAGTCATTGTCCTCACAGGTAACTATCATTGTCCTTGTGTTACAGTTGCACTCCATGGGGCAGCTTCCACTATCAGATGAAACACCAACGAAGACACAAATAAAGAAGCTCAAACGTACTAACCTGCCCATCACTTTGAATTTGGTGTCACACATGCTGGTGATGACCTTCATGAGCTTGTTCAACTTTCAGAAATTCCAGCAAAACACTGTAGGGCCATGACAAATAATGTTTTCAAATTATTCTTCATCCTGATAAATGTATTCCAGATTAACACAAATTCCTCAGTTTGTGGTCAAACATCAAATGTTTCTAAAGGTGTTAAGACTCCAGAAAAAGTAACCAAACCAGTAGGTGCACACTTTCAACTAAAAAATCCAATTATTGCTTTAGTATACAAGCCTGTTATATCAGTGCAAGGGTGAACCAACACATATATCAAGACAGGTCACAGCTTCAAAAAACAAAGTATGTGTTTCACAAATCAAAGTTCTCTTTTACCTTCTGAAGGCACAACTATGTCTTACTCAAGTGCCATGCTGGAAGGTTATCCAGTCAAGTGACCAAAGTAAAAGGCTTGGTTCCTTTTATCTTACCCAATCATTTACATCCAGAGGTAGTGAAAATCTTAACAGAATCTATTAAAGATCAGATAAGCCCAAAGCCTATGTAACAAGTCCAAATGAGAGACAGTGTCTGAATCTACCTGCTGAAGTGGAAGGGCGCAGGCTTAAAGCTTCCAGCTTTGTCAACATGTAAAAGAGTACTTGATGTTCAATGGGTACAGATTATGCCGATATTATGCTGTATTTGGCAATTTGATAAATGTTTCCATGTGGGTGGGCTTAACATGTCTATGGAAAGAGTAGATGTGTGACTATGATAAGATTTCTTTGATTAATGATAGAATTTTGACACTGGGATATATTTGCTGATGACTAAATTTCAGTTTATGACACCCATAGTGCTGTATTTGTGATGGTATGTTTGAGAGGCAAACCTTTTTACAATAGTCATAATCCAGAATTAATAACTTCATTTGCTGGTTCATCAATAATTTGATTGTCGCTTGGAGAAGTACTGTGCAGCACAGGGTGTAAATACAGTCGAGCATCGATATTCATGGGACCAAGAAAAAATATCGAGTTATCCGAACTTTGAGACACCCACCTAGGGCATATCATCACATACCACTATGAAAGAAAACAAAAAGTAGATTTTATGTATATTTATTTGTATATACATTTTTACTCACAGGGATCGCAATCACACATGATACAGTTCATGTTCCAGTGTCCATCACATGCTCAGTCACGTGATTACACAAAACCAGCAGTATGTTTTGATTCGAAACTATAATCTGTTATCAGTAGTGTTTAGTCGTAACAGTGAGTACTTCCTAATTAATTCCTTCTTAATTAATCCTAATTGAATAACAAACAAGTGACACCTTCAATTCAATTAGCCCTCATTAGTTTACACTACCGGATCCCTTTGATTCATGCCACACCGTGTTTAAACAACATCAGTTCAGAGGGAATCTTGCCCATGAAAGGTAGGTGAATATCGAGTTTCTTTGCAAATATTGAGTTAAAAGGGTAATTTTGCTTGTTGGGACCATGAAATCATATCGAGATATCCGAAATATTGAGACATCCTTTTGAGTTAAAAGAGATATCGAGTTATCAGAGTTCGACACAACGGTGCTCGACTGTAGTTACTTTTTTGGCATAACGTGTGAATGGCTGGTGCTGCCATTAGAGCAGGACATGTTCACCCTTTTTGTGAATGCCTGGTGTCATTATTAATTTCCAGGGGTCCATTATTATAATGTACGAGCAGATTTTGCTCTCTATCCAGAAAATGGAATTTGTGACTGAAGACAGTGAGGTGAGTTGAGTTGAGTTGAGTTGAGTTGAGTTGAGTTGAGTTGAGTTGAGTTGAGTTGAGTTGAGTTGAGTTGAGTTGAGTTGAGTTGAGTTGAGTTGAGTTGAGTTGAGGTGAGGTGAGGTGAGGTGAGGTGAGGTGAGGTGAGGTGAGGTGAGGTGAGGTGAGGTGAGGTGAGGTGAGGTGAGGTGAGGTGAGGTGAGGTGAGGTGAGGTGAGGTGAGGTGAGGTGAGGTATATGGGATCCAGTGATATGATACAATGGGAGCAAACTATTTGTAAAAAATGTTTATGTATTTCAAGAATCTATGCCAACAAACACTGACATTTCCGAGAAACACTTGCATATTTTTACCGTAAATTTCACATGCACACTGTTTGCCAAAGTGGCAACATAGAAAGCAGTACTCATTTCTATGTTCAAGAACCTTTCACGTAGTTTGCAGGGAAAAACAAGGCTCTCTCCTAATAAATGTTTTCCCCCCACATTTATTAAAGTAAAGCAGATGCCTTATTGCTCATCATATACAATTCAAATTACATGCTTGCAACAAATTAAAATGTATTTGTTTTGTTAACTGGTTATCAACTAGCTGTCATCATGAAAGCGTATTCAGATGATGCTAAACGTTTAATTAGAAATGTGTTGAATTTTGTTAAAAAAAGAGAGCAAACGTAGCAAACCGATTTATAAGGTGTCGGATTACATGAGACGTACAACTTTTGCTCTTGGCATGAAATAGAACATCGTGCTAACAATTGTGAAAAATAAACCAACAACCAATAGACAAAACCTTGTACAAAAAGGTAGGCATCCAAAATTAGATTCTTTTGACATCAGGGCCATCAGAGATGTCATTCGCCGGCTATTTGCTAGAAATGAACACCTCTTCATACCTGTCACGTGCATAGCTGACCTATATTGACAAACGTTGACCTTTATGACCCAACACTGCCGCTGTTACAGGTCATTTGCTCCCTCCCTCTGCAAGCATTCTGCGTTCTGCTGTTGATTTTGTTGACAGTTACATAGACAGATTCTTTAATACAAATGCATAAAATCGGTGATTTACAATGTGATTAGGTTGTCTGACAAAACATCCACTTGCACAGTTTGAGATCGATTGGGTCATTGGATGAAGAGATATTTACAAAAAAACGGGTCCACATGCATTTCATGCCAAACTATACATGCCATCAACTAATTGCTGAGTCAGACTGCCAAATCCAGTAAGTGACCACTTAAAATCAGTATGAGGCAAAATAAAAAAAATGTTGTGGTTCCGATTACACCTCTTTAAAATTTAGGGTAGGTAGGTAGGAAGGAATTTTTTTTACATTTTTTTTAGAAGTAAAGTACGAAGTAATAACACATTTATCAATGTGTAATTGTTTATTCAATCAAGCTTGCAAGACTTTCTCTATCAGAATGACTGATGTCCGTTGGTGCTGGGAAACAACAATGGTATCTGAAAGCCTATTTTATTCATACCTTATAAAAAACCTTGGGTCATCACATCTAGTGACATGTAATTGCAAACTTCACATCCTTACTGAGAGTTCTTTTCTCATGTTTGCTCACATGAATTGGTTTGATGTAATTTTTTTCTAATCACCACAAAAAAAACATTTGAAGAAAGTCTTCGTATACAATAACCAACCCTTTTCTAAAGAATGTTTTCTCGAGCCTTCGTATATACAGCTCATCTGCAGTCATATACCGTAAGTTGCTTGGGACCAATTCTAAAAAAGTCCGCCACACGGTATGAGTTAATGAAATGAGAACTCATTGTTGTTATATGGGTCAGTAAGTAACAAACAAACACTACGGAAAAGGAAGAAAAAAATGTTTTGATGACTTGAATGAAGACTAGTGAAAGTTATGATCACAAATTCAGTCTAGTTTTACCCCGCTTTTAGCAACAATATTCCAGCAATATCAGGGCGGGCTTCACACATTGTACCCACGAGGGAAATCGAACCTTGGTCTTTGGAGTGACGAGTAAACCCTTTAACCACTAGGCTAGCCCACCACCTAATAAATCTGAACAAGATAAGGTTTGATAAGGTCGCTAGTGTCCTGTGATACAGACAGACTATTGAGCAACACTTTACAGCAGACAAAGTTAAGATTTTCACCAGATGAACATTCTTCTGTCTTGCAATCAGACACCAACAAGTCATTTTTCTCTTTGAAGCAAATAAATCATTAACACTTCCTCTTTTCATATCAGTCTGCATCAATATTTGTTGAAAATAATTCAAAACTGTGAGTGACATTTATCAAAGGGGCAAGAGTACTTAGTGGGTGACTATCAAAAGGCCGTTTATCTGTTGATTATCTTGTGTCAGGAAGATTGATGATCTTATTCAAAGGCGAGGGGTCGATATCCTTAGTTCGACTTTATATTAACATGGCATGTAGTATCAATCAATATTTGACAGGGCACACTGATTCATAAACTGGGCTTTTTGAATTACAGCCAAAATTAGAATATATACAGAGAGAGTAAGTGTCAACATTTATCACATTCTGTTATAATGTTCATATCTAATATACAGCAACTGTTTCATATGAGATCAAATGCATTTCATAAGGGTTGAAACAATGAAATATACTTCATTTTATATTGAAAAGGAACAAGTATGGCACTTTAAGTTTATGGAATTTTAAGTTTAAGGTAATAAAGATTACACTTGATATCAATTTCTGCTCTATGTCATCTTTGATAATCGAGGATAACATATTTCTATTTTATCAGTAATGAACCTACCTTGTTTTAAATATAAATGGAAGTCCTGTTGCATCAGATGACTTCACATGCCTTTCCACTAGGAAACCTAAACGTTAATTTATTACAGTCAATGAAATAATAAATGGTTTTCTTGTACAAGGATATTTTATATGTAGATCTTTGTGAAATTCAGTAGGAGCAATTTGATGTGTTGTTCATTGCAAGATTGTTATCAAGACAGTTTGTACAATGGGGGTTGTGAAAAATGACTTAAATATTTTTCAGGATGGATACCCCAACACAATTAGGTGTAGTGCTAAGAGAACATAAGCAGTATCATTTATGAGTTTTGCAGAGTAAAACTTAACAGATGTTTTCATTCATTTAAGTTAATTCGTCATTTATTTGCTGAATGCTATATATAATGCCAGAATCCTGCCTGAAGCAAACAAACCAGCACCAGAGTACTGTTGCTCACCTTCCGTACTCAACAACTGTGTCTCCGGACAAACTCTTGTTCTTCTAAGCATCAAACGTTAGTTTCAGGTACATTATATTGTGATTATAAGTTCCCTTCTTATGCAGTTTCCATGTTAAAATCTTCATGACCTTCAAGAAGAATTAATAATTTTACTTTTAAGCTGAGATCAAATACATTTCCAATATGACAAATAAACAAATTCCAGATACACCCAGCTCTACAACCCTACAGACATATAGTAAAACCCTTATCTTGTTATCACTGTCAAACATTTCACTTAATAAGTGGATACATGCTCAGTTTCAAAATCTGAACATTCTTAGAATATTTGTCGCACACAAATTTCAGCAAGAAAGAGGGCAGTTTTATGTGCGGTTGTCAACTACGGGAGAATGTCTTATCCACCAGGTAGCTGGGACAGTCAGGCACTGGACTAGAATCACACACTGTTATGTAACATCCACGGACTACACACAGCCTGTGTTTGGCCTGGGTTTGCATGTGATAAGCAGAGATTTTCACCTGCCACTGGCCCGTCCATGATTTACTCAGAATACTTGTTAATCTTTACTACAACTCTTGTATAGCTTTCCCCTAGTCTGTCTCACAGTCCCTGAACAACATTATTTTCCCTACTGCCTAGCCCTCTCTGCAGTGCTAAAGCCCTAAATAAAGCAAGTCTAGATTTCCTCTGGTCTCCCTAGGGCTCCTTTTCAATATAAATGGGCTTGTTTGTTACTATCCAAATTATATATATTCAGAGACTAAGCCTTAGTCTGAGCTTTCCCCCTGTCCAGGTATTTCAAAGAACAGGTGCCCTGTGTGGTCTCAGCTTGGGATGGGAGGGTACCAGATATAGCTTATATCAATCTGGAACCAATCCCAAAACGCGAACGAAAAGATATCTTAAAATGTTAAAGCATGTCAATGCTAAAAATAAAATAAAAGTCAAAGACAAAATTACGGACAAAGAAAAATTATCATCTTTTTTAATCAACAAAGCATTTTTAACATTTTGTCTAGTGACATTTTCAAGATATAACTGCTTAAACATAAGGTTAGAGAATGGTCAATCTCGTGTTATAATATATGTCACATGAAAAAGGCAACAAGTCATAAATTCATTAAAGGTAGCACTTACTGACAATGACAATCAACTGATGGTTGATAAAATAATAACAGTACACTATGGTTATAACAAACTCAAAGGGACCATTAATTTTAGTTCATTTTAACCTAGTGGTTAAAGCATTCACTCGTCACGCCGAAGACCCCACATGGGTACAATGTGTGAAGCCCATTTCTGGTGTCCCCTGCCATGATATTGCTGTATTATTGCTAAAAGCGGTGTAAAACTAAACTCACTCACTCACTCATTTTAACCGTAGCTCTTTACATCCATTTTGACTAAAATATACAGCTAATGACCAGGTCCCATTCAGTTCATTATGAATGAAAATTGATGTATATCAACAGTTTTACAAACACAATACTTCAGTATGGATCCATACTAGTAAAATGAAAAACAGTCTCCTGTCTGTGGAACATAATTCATAAGAGTTCACATATACGCTGAGAAAATATATTGCTGAAAATAAATTTTGCAAATAACTGTTTTCATTTATTTTGGGCGTTACATAACAACTTTTTTCAGTTAAATGACATTGGCAAGTAGATCAGACAATCAAGTGATTGATATTCAGAACAACAAATAACCATATCACTGAGTAAGTGAGTTTAGTTGTATTCCAATATTAGCAATATTCCGGCAATACCAAGGCGGAGGACACCAGAAATGTGCTTCACACATTGTACCCATGTGGGGAATTGAACCTAGGTCTTCGGCATTATGAGAGAACACTTTAACCACTAAGCTACCCCACCGCACCCCATATCACTGAGGCTGGACACCTAATCCCACTGCACAAGAAGGATAGGTCACTGAGGGCCAAATCTAATCCTTGACATTACTGTTAGAATGTAAGTAAAGCAATAATACGCATGATGTGTGTGTGAGTGTGTGTGTCAGTATTCAAGTGATCAAATAACTTATCTGTGCCCTGAGGACCCATCCCCTGACTTGCACGGAATTCTTGCAACATATTTATGATAACACTTGGGACAGGATAAAGTACTTTATTTACATTTGAATGAATATGAAGTACGGTATATACATGTATAAAAGCAAAAGAAGACATGAACAAAGTAGTTACAATTAAAGAATTTACTCGTGACTTGAGAAAGAAGGCTGTTTGGAGAACAATGTGTAGTTCTCCATTATCTTTGTCATCACATCGATTTTTTAATATATCTTTATTCCAGTGTATATTTCACTTTGTGATTATATTCATACTGTAAGGAAACTGAATATATTCTGACAGTATTTGAAACTAAGCCTGAACTGTACAAACTAACTCTCAGGTGAGACCCAAGTTAAGCATGAATTTCCTAGTCATGACCAGAATGTTGAAAATAAAGATTCAGTGGGTCCATACATTTAAATGGCATTAGAGCAGACATTAATACTCTTGGACCTGGAACACTGACATGTATTTTCCTTTCATATTCCTAATCCCAAACAATTACAAATGTCTTTAACTTCATTTTTTAAGAATTATTTCAGTGGAAGTATGAAGCTGATCAGTTCTTAGCTCATTGTAACTAGCATTATTTTAACAGCTGAAATAATACACATATTTTCCACTCTATCAGTAATGGGATAAAGAACTAGACAGAAACCATCCACAGGTACTGATGGGAAAAGATATTGAGGAAAACAATGATAACAGGCCAATCATGATGAAAACATGAGGAATACATTGTACATATGACATAACAGGCTAGACATAACAACATGATCAACATCAATGAGAATTTACAATGCTTTTGAAGCAATGAGCAGTGAGTGGGTAGAGTTCTGGACCTCCAACCTGAATATCATTTCAGTTATATAAGCTTTATATTGGGAAAGGTTGAAGCTTTATATTGATCAAAGTAATACAGGATGACATGTTTTCATGCTAAACCAATGGGTGAGTGAGTGAGTTGGGTTTAACACAGCTCTGAAGAGTATTCCAGTTATATCCCGTCATGTATGCCATATATATACAACAGAGTGGCATAACATATTTACTACAGTGTTACATGAAAAATATTGGTGTTCTTGAACTTCTTTTGAGTTGTAAATAAATTATATGTTAGGCCATATAACATAAGGGTACATATTTTGAACAAAAGCATCATATATAAACTCTAAATCATCTCAAATCTAAAATAGACAAACTTGTTAACACTG